ATTTTTAGCGTGTTAATAAAGACTGTCGAAAATTTAAAGAATGGCTTTGATAAAGCACAACAGCAACAACAGAAAAAGAAGAACAACTGGTATAATAAATGCCTCGGATCTCTGCCCCTCTCTCGCGGTCCACTCCACTCCAACGCAACGATATATAATATAATAAAAAATGCAATTTTATTTTGTTTAGCCCGAAAGAGCCGCAACACAAAAGTTTATGCACACTTAGATATATTCCTTTCGGATTTGTCACAATCAAAGGCCACATAAAAAAGGAGCAAATTGCCGAAACAGAGATCCGTACCATTAAAAAGGAACATCAAATGCTGCCAGACACCGAGATGAGCTGACTCTGGCAGACACATAAAGGTTATGGCTCTGTTAGAAAGAGGAACATTATTCGAAGGTTCTGCAGTGGGCCACAAACTTTTTCAATAAGAAGTGTTAGTATTGTTTCTATTTATAGAAGAAGAGTGCAAACAAGATTTTGATGATGCATTTTGGAAACTGTTAAAGAATCTAATTAAGAGCTAAGAATAGGGAAAATATCTGCAGTCCCAAAAAACTCAACCTTTCTACAACAGAAAAAAAACCGCAAAAGTATATATAAGTATTTCCAGCATTCATTTAAACTCTGCGCTTAATTTGTTTATTTTACCTGTTAACCAATTTATTTCTGATAAATTGTTTATGTGTCGTTGGCACAGCACAGGCCAGCACGGGTCTGGTCTGGTCTGGTATGGTCGGTTCTCTCCGCTGATGTCTCTCCTGCGGCTGTGGCTGCGGCTTTTGTTTGCACATTTTAAATGAGTTCCCTCCAGCCCATGTACGAGCAGTTTAAGTTCAATCAACTTTGCACCGCAACCAAAACAGCCAAAAGCAGCCACCACAACAATTGATTAATTAATGAATTATTTATTGAACATGCAGTAATCAAAGATGTGTTTTTTCCCCGCAACCAATCATGTCTTAGCATTTCACGTTTTTGCATTAGTCAAGAATTAGTGTAGACATTTTTGTAAAAACAAGAAAACACCAACAAAAAAAAAGGGAATTTTGGAATTGGAATTCTAAGAACCAAACAACTGCAGACTTATTTGCTTTTTGTTCATTTTGTTACATACAATACAAAACCCAACGACTTTAAGTTATCTTGAGGCTGAAAAAGTTGCACACAAAAGATATCTTTCACGGCATTTTACAGCGTCTGCTGCGATGCTGACTAGAACCAAGTATGTATGTACATGAAATAAGTATATTGTGTGCTTGCGTATGCGAATTTATTGTATATTTGTCGAGCTGTAGAACATCTAAACATTTGCACTTCGCACACTTGTTAGAACCCGAACAAGACACGGAACCAAGAGCAGGGAGGCAGAGCGTCGAAAGAGAGGAGTGGAGCCCAGCTGCATGGTTTATCGCAGCAGCAGCAGCAGCAGCTTGAGCTTGAGCAGCTCCTCCGCTATGCACTCGAATGCCCTTCATGACAAGCCAGCCTCTGCCACCACCCTTTCGTTAGACTTTTCGCTTGAACTGTGTCAATGGCCTTGAAATTGTTTTGCGCCTTAGTTGTTCTTTCTTTTGTCGCCGTCGCCGTCGCCATCGCCATCGTCGACGTTGTGGCGGTTGTTGTTGTTGAGATTAGTGGAATTATTGCACTTGCTTAGATCTGGCTGAGCCCACAAGGAAATGCATATAGACGAGTACATCTGTAGATTTGAATACACTTACAAAGAGTCTTATACTAAGTTTCAATCAGAAAGCAACACCGACCCGACGCTCTACTTTTGCGTGTCTTAAAGACACTTTAAACAACTCGAACATAATTAATTTAACTCCGAACATAACAATTGTGTTTCCAAACTGTAAGGGTACATCCTCTTCGGTGCATTAAAGATCTTCGCGGTTGCAATTCTTCTTGATTTGTGTGTTGCACTTACAGCTCTTAGACACAGTGCGTACAATTAATCTGCGGGCTATGTTCTTCTACTTATATTATTTATTGTTCCAATAAAATTGCGTCATAGTCTCTTTGGATTATCGAAGCGAGACCTGCATGTGGAGATGCCATTAGAGGTTGATCTCTCAGCACCCATTCCTCTCCACAAAGCAGGAAGTGCGCGCCATTCGATTCTTTCCAGTGTTTCCTCTGCCTCGCTCTGTGTGGTTTTTCATTGAAGCGTTTTTTATTGTTGTTGTTTTCGTTTTTGTTTTTGTTGTTGTAGTTTTGTGGAACAGGAAAAGCGATTGCGCCCCAAGGTCAGCAAAAGCCAACCGCATTATTCTTCTTGTTGCTTTGCTGCTGCTGCTAATAATTTACAACTGCGATGATCCCCAGAGATGCTGGCTAATGATAATGATGTCTGGGTGTACTTTTTCCATTGGTTTTTGCTTGTGCACACAGCAGCTAATAGCAGCAGAAAGATTCGATTGAATTAAATGCGAGAAAAAAATAACCTAGAATTTAATGAAAGAGCAGGGGCAATACGGAAAGAAAGATACAACGTGAAGGGTTATATTTAAAGGTTTTTTGAAGATAGATTGACTTAGAAACTTAACCACAATTTACGATAAATATAAGAAAACTTCTTCAAACAAAAGCTACAAAAAAGGTTCGAAAAATTGTTCCAGCTTGAGCAAACAAAGATCACTTCAGATTCACAAGGTCTAAAGACAAGTCCAGCCAGGGCAGGCCAACTCCAAGTAGACTTATGGCCCTGCCCCAGCTTGATGACTTCACTGAACCCACGACACCTCCAAGTTGGGTCATAAAATAAAAACACTTCCAAAGTGCAGCAACAGCAGCTGAAACAAGACTTTAAGACCGAACAAGTGTTAATTTGTGGCCACATCAGAGCCCAGAGCTCTCTTTGAACCCGGTCAACCCCTAAGCACAACAAAAAAAAACCCCCCAGAAACCCTCAAGTACCAGAGCAAGTGCAACTCTGAAGCAAAAGCCAGTACAAATAACAACAAAAACAACAGCAAACATTAAGAGATTAATACGAGACAAGTAAATGCAAAATACCAACCATAAACAAGTCGGGAATAAGTGCGAGTACGAGTACGAGTAACCGTACGATAAAGAGCAAAACAAAATTTATAAAGCTCATACCCGTACTCGTGCTCGTGCTCGTGCTCGGACAAGTGAAGTCTGATAATTGTTTGCTTTTATTTTGTTCTTTTCGGAGCTGAGGCAATTAGGCCTGCCATTATTTATGTGTGAGGCTGAGAGGCACAACAAAACTTGAACTTCAGCCTGTCGGCACCTTGAGGCTGGCTGTGTGTGATACGAGTAAGTATATCTGGTAATTGCCGACATCAATTGCATTATGCATTACTCATACGCAGCATTGTCGCTCGTCTCCTCCGACTGTTACTGTGACTGCTGTGTGGTTAGCCTTAGGCCACAGCCAAGACGAGATCGAGAAAAGCTAATGCTCAATCGCGTGACATTGTAAGAAAATGCAGTTGCACTTGATGCTGCCAACTAAAGATGCGAGATGGGATGAGATGACATGAGAGGAAAGCGTTTAGCTTCAGTCAAATGATTTTCGAATACCCGGCAATAGTGGAGGGTTTGGGTGTATTGAGCTCATGGGGATACATGTAACAGAAATAACTGTCAACATTTCATCTCACACTCTTACTTTATTATATAATTTCCACATCCTTTAGCATAGGATACATCAGATTGTGGGGTATCCTTTAGTCGAAATATCAAACTTAAACGTTCTTCCATGATGTGTTTTTCGTTTTAGTGTAAGATTTCCAGTTAACCATGAAACGGGACACAGCTGCCTGGCTGGTCTCTGAGCTAGCCTCTCCCATGGTCGCGTTTTTGAACCATTTTTGCCCAGAGAGGGAGAGCGAGACTTTGACATTCGAATATCTTCGGGGCCAAAACCCGTTGTGCAACATTTGGCCAGACGATGATGATGCAGCAGCAGCAGCCCAACCTTGACCTGGTTCTACTTCTAGCCTTAGCCTGGCTTAGAGACCAGTCGACTTCTAACCTCCATTCGTGCTTGATTAGCCTTTAACGATTGGCTCAACTTTCAGACAGACACAGATTTTAATTAGCATTTCCGCACGTTCGCCCATTTAGCTGTTGTCAATGAGGATTGCCCTATCCTGGGCCAATCTATTTAAGCCAAAAGTGGGAGAAAGTGGAGGAGAGTCAAGGAAGGAGGAACAGTTGCGCCTTGAGCTTGAGCTCGAGAGAAACCTAATTAAAAGTGTTCCTTGAACTTGCCGCCTGAAAGGCTTCAACATGGATTAATGCCTCGGGTTGCCGGCACCGAGTTAACACTTTAAGTCCTCCATCAGCAAGTCTGTAAGTTGCTCGAGGGCTCCGCTTCCTGGTAAAATGAGGGTGGGGCCAAAGACGAAGACGTCAAGATGCAAAAGTTTTCAATTAGACAATTTTCTCATTTACATTTCAAATGAATTTGTTGCGCCACTTGCCTCTGAGTTGTGCGTATCTTAATTGGTTTTTATGGGCGCACTTTTGGTCAGCGAATGAATTTTTGTTGTTACTTACACAAGAGATACTTGATATTATATCTAACAGAAAGTAAATATACTCGTATTTACATTTTCCTATTAATCTTCGTTTAAGATTTAATTAATCAAAGGAGATTTTGGCAGGAATGTTCTGGGAATAAATGGAAAATTGCAATTTTAATTAAAATTATTGTTGCTCAACCAGTGAAAAATATGTTTGAAATAGATTTGGGTCTCTTAATATATTCATTTAAAATTTATATTAAAGTAAATTCTATTTACTTTCTTTATTTGCTTCTGTTTCTATGCCTTTTTATTCTCTATAAATTGTATTTTGTATAAAAGAGATAATAGATGGACATTAAAAATAAATACGGAAGAATGTTCACCAAAAAAACTTCTTCCAGGAGGACTCTACTCACCCTAGTTGCCTTGTTATTCTAAGACCACCTTTAACCACCCTTTTCTCGTCTCAGTTACCTCAGCCAACTGTTGCTTGCCTCAAGTGCGGCGGGTTGCCATGACACTCAACCGACAACAAACAGAAGTAGCCATGGCAACACGCGTCCAAAGACCAAAACAAAAGGTTAGCCGCTGAAAATTGACATTAGTTGGCGAAGTCTTGAAGAAAAATGCTGCATCAGGGAATTATACTGCGCGAGGGACATGTCACCCGTACCATTTACAATCTGGCAAGTCCTTCAAAATATTAATTACGAATGCCTTATAATGTCAGAGCTGCTACAGATCAAAGACAAACGCTATGAGGATGTGATTGAGTGTATAACTAGTATTGGGGAGGCAGCCAATACAAGAGCGGGTCTGTCCACCTTGGGGCACTGTTACTATCACGCCCAGAAGTACGAGGAGGCGGCCAGCTGCTACGAGCAGCTCTGCCAGCTGGTGCCCAAGGAAGCCAAGTACAGGTAGGATTATCTTTCAAAAGAGGAATCTTCTCTCAAACAGAAGAATATTCCCTTCAGATTCTACTACGCTCAGTCACTCTACCAGGCTGGCATCTTTGCGGAGGCATTGAGAGTCCTCAAGCAAATCAGTGACCAGGAGGAAGAGCTCCGGGAGCACTGCCTGCAGCTGCAGAGCGCCATTCTGTACTCGAGCGAGGACTATGCCGGGGCCCAGAGTTTGCTCAATCAGCGTGCGGGAGGCACTGCGGATACCCTCAACGATGAGGGATGCCTGCTCTATCAGGCGGATCAGCACGAATCGGCAGTTCAGCGATTCCAGGCCGCACTCCAGGTGGGCGGCTTTAATCCGCTGGTGGCCTACAATGTGGCGTTGGCCCACTTTCAGCGCAAGCAGCGGGCCCAGGCACTGGACTACACCTCGGAGATTGTGGAGCGGGGAATGCGCAACCATCCGGAGCTAGGGATTGGCGCCCAGGTGGACACCGATGGCAGTGCGCGCAGTGTGGGCAATCCCATAACGATGGCCTTGTCTGGCATAACCCAAGCTCTCAATCTGAAGGCGGCACTGGAATATCAGGATGGCAACGAAGAGGCAGCGCGGGACGCCCTGCTAGACCTGCCACCTCGGGCCGAAAGCGAACTTGATCCAGTAACGCTTCACAATATGGCCCTCACCGATGCCCAGGGCCCTGTGGCGGGTCTCCGGAAGCTGGCCTTCCTCCTCCAGCTGGGAGCTCCCTCCTGTCCCAAGGAGACCTTCGCCAACATCCTGCTCATCTGCTGTCGGCACGAGCTCTACGAGACAGCCGCGGATATTCTGGCAGAGCACACCGATCTCACCTACAAGTATCTGTCGCAGTATCTGTACGAACTGCTGGATGCCTTGATCACAGCCCAGACCAGCGTCGAACTGGCGGAGAAGAAGCTGGGAACACTGGCCTCCAGTCTGGCTGGGAAGCTGCGCAGCCTGGCCGCCAAGGTGCAGGATGTGCGGGCCACCAATGAGCAGCAGACCCTGAGGGATGCACTCAAGGACTACGAACAGGCATTGGAACTGTAAGTAAAATATTTTTTAAAGATATTTAACCCATTCTTCAATGCCTAATACGATACATTTGATGAAAGTTATCTACCGGTGGTCATGGCACGTGCCTGGATCTCCTGGCGCGACGATGACTTCGTTGGAGCGGAACGTGAGTTCCACTCGAGTGCCGAGTTCTGTTCAGAGAATGCCGTCTGGCGTCTGAATGCGGGCCATGTGCTCTTCATGCAGGGCGACAAATACAACGAGGCGGCAGCCTTCTACGAACCAATTGTGCGACAACACTCTGATGATGTGAGTTTGATTCCTAAGTCTCCAGTAAATTCAAATTTCTAAGAATTATGTGTTATCTCCCCGCCATTCCAGATCATGTCTGTCTCAGCTGCTGTGCTGGCCAATCTCTGTGTATCGTACATCATGACCTTTCAGAACGAGGAGGCCGAGGAGCTGATGCGCAAAGTGGAGAAGGCTGAGGAGCTCAAGGGCAACCTGGGCAAGCAGTACCATCATCTGTGCATTGTCAATCTGGTTGTGGGCACCCTCTACTGCGCTAAATCCAACTACGAGTTCGGCCTGACACGGATTGCCCATGCCCTGGAGGGTGGTGCTGGGGGCAGACTCTATGCGGACACCTGGCTCCATGTGAAACGCTGCATCCTTGGCCTGCTCACGGGCATGGCCAAGCAGAACATTATCCTGCCCTACACTGCTGTGCAGGAAGTACTCAGCTTCCTCAGATCCTGTGAGGCTTATGGCCTGTTTACACCGGCTAATATTTTCACGGCCACGGAGCAGGTGCCCGAGGAGCCGCTGACCATTGGACTGGAGGCCCGGAAATTGCGTTTGTTGTTGCTCAAACTCAGCGAGTATGAAAATTGTTGAATTTTCACTGGAAATCCCACTGAGAATTTCTGTTTTGTGTAAAGAAAATGAACATTTTTGCATATTTTGGTATTGAAATGCATTATAAAAGAGAAATTTAATGGACAGAAATTGATATTTTGATATTTATAAACAAATTTCTAATTTATATTTACCAGAAGCAACTTTTTCGCTCAGTGTAAGCATTGGTTATATTTTCATCAATGAAATTTGTGCGATGAAAGCCTCACACCAGCTCCTTCTCTTTCAATTTCCATCTCCTTCGTTTCTCCTTCCATTTCCTTATTATTTTCCCACACCGAACATTTCACGGAAATCCTTCAAAAAGGACAACAACAGCCAAAAATAGCTCCCCCACCAAAATCACCACAGGGCTCAACTTGTCTTAGCTCTGTGACAGCTGGAAATCCAAAAGACTTATAAGCAAAATTCAGAGCGCATGAAGTGATAAATATAAATTACCAGTGAAAGAGCAGAGAAATCAGTCATAAATCACATTAATGACAGATTTTCATCAGAGCAGGGCAGGGCAGGGCAGGGCAGGTTCCCGGCCAAGTAGGAAGTGGATTGTCTATCAATCTATTGAAAAGAAAGAACCTGTAAGACACGTGCTTTTCCTATGGAAAAGTGTACCGAGTTCTCCTCTGGTCTGCCCCTCACGGTTCTGCTCGGCGAGCACGTGAGCACTCACGCGTTCGATTTGACAACGTGTTTATGTCGCAGCTCAATTTCCCATTGACAGCATCATCATCATCATCATCATCATCATCATCACCATCGTCATAGTCATCCATGGGGCAGCAAAATAGAAAAATGGCGACAACAAAAACGCCTAACAAGCACTTTAAGCTGGCTCGTGGCATGCCACGCATTCAGCGGCAGGCATCCTCATGCACAGCCAGCAGCATCCTCAGCCCCATCATCATCAGCATTGATGTTGTCATTATACTCATCGACATCCTCCTTGTCATTACGCATACGACGCATACGAAAGAAAAAAAAAGGAGGGAAATATGTACATACACAACATGAAAACACTTGTCATTAACGCAAACAGACAGAAACAGTCTTCCCCACTCGCTTACAAACATACACAGAGAGTAACTCACAAGCCAAATATGTGCACCCCCATCATACCATGGACTCACATCCAGATACCAACTTAGGGTTGAACTATGGCGCCTGCAACAGGACTCAAAAAGAGCTTGTAACACCTTTTTGTGCGCGGAATTTAGTGATACCCTCCTGGCGGAAGATAGACTAATTCTGTCATGAAATGCGTAATCAACGATAAGAATACGAATTATTGAGATGGGGAAAGCTGTAAAATTATGAAAGAATTAATAACAATAAGTAATGATTAGGGCTTAGATGTCAGAGAAAATAAAATCCAGCATCCAGCATGATTGCAGGTACACAATGATATTTCGAATGCATTTAACACTGTAGACACAGGATAATTGAACATTTGAACTCTATAGAAAGTACCCTTTTGGCAAATGTGATGCAATTTTAATGAGCCTTAAACGAAGGCATCAACACTTACATATGTACATTCCTCAAAACAAACTGACATAAGCTGCAAGTTATTTGCAAGTATCATCTCATTAATTTCTAATTATGATTCTCATTAATTTGAGAGTTGACTATACACAAAACTTTGCCAGAGCCCCCATTTTGATTAGTGTTTTCCACCAAACACAAACCCCTTTCAGTTAACCGGACAATCAGATTGAAACAAACTGCAATGAATGTTAATCTATGAAACTAAAGAGTATTACATTGTCGCTTCACTTGAATAAATAAAGCAAACTTAACTTTTTTTGTTGGTCTCTTTCGCTTATTTTCATGGCGCGTCGCCGTCGTCAAGTGTTGCTCATTTTGTTTTACTTTATCATTTTGTTCAACTGGACCGAGCGCTTTTCCCTTTTTTCGCTCTCCATTTCCCCGTTGCTTGTTAGCTGCCTTTTGTTTGGCAACTCAGCCATGCGCTGGTTCTACATTTGGTATTTCCTTCTGAATCTACTTACTGATGCTCTTCCTTGTGTTGGTTCATGTTTTTTCTTCTGAACCTCCTGAATTGGCTCTAAATTTGTATTCTGATATTGTTCTGCATTTTCATAATTGAATGGATCTTTCATATTCATCCTCCTCCAGAAATTATCATACACTTCTTCTTATCATAGCGTTCTTATCATTTTGATTCTTCTGCTAGCCCTGCCTTCATCCTAGGCCTTCTCCTAGACCATCCTACTACCCAGTCTACTACCTGATCCCAGTCCTTCTCGGTGAACTATTTGCTGGTACCCGTTCTTATGGTACTTGTTACTTATTCGTCTGCATCTCATCCTGCCAATTTTATTACAGGCTGTCTGCCTTCCTTCCAGTAAATTGTGCATTTCAACTTGTGCTTTAGCACTTCATGGGTCCTCCACATGGGTCCCATCTATTCTCCGTGCTGCGTGTCGATTGTTAATATGCCTCTTAAGTAGTTTGCCTCTCGAGGGCATTGCAAAAGTTAAGTTTGTCTTTTTTCGGGGAGTAGCTTCCTTTAGAAACTCGAACTAAATTGTGTCTGCCACTCAAAGCGATTTTCCACGCCATTTAAAGCAGCAAACAGACAGACAGTAGCACACATAAATATGGGTACTTGGGAGAAATGTCCTGCCTGAAGGCCTGACTGCAGTCAGCCTCCTCTGTCTGATCCTGTCTCTTGTCGGCCCCCCCCCCCAGTTTCCAGCTATTATCTCCATTGTGTGTGTTTGGTTCTGAAAAAAATGTTATAAACCGCATTCAACTCAAAAATCAATAAGGCTTTGTTGTTGCTGGGCTCTGTTGACCGTCGGCATTTGGCGGGAGGGCAATTGTTGCATGCCACCATGTATCCATGTGGGAACGTGAGTCTATTGCTGTGTGGTCGCCGCTTAACTGTAAACGAGGAAATGGCTCAGGCAACCCGTTGGAAGCCTCAACAATGCCAAAGGGAAATTCAAAAACCAACAAAAAACAGGAAAATGCTGAGCAGGCAGCAGCAGGAAATCAAATATTTTGCCATATCGGGATCATGGATGGGATACAAGGATTATTAGAAACTTCTTTCTTGATTAGCTGTACTTTTAATTGCCAAAGGTAAAACGAGAACATCCAATAATGTGATATGCCAGGAACAAGAGTAACTTTGGAGTGATAAAAACACCCGAGGCTTCCATTTTGCAATATCAACTAGGGAATATCCAAAATTACACCTGACCCTTAGCAGTTTGATGCACAAGTTCAATCCTTCTTCTGTTGTCGACAAATAATTCGCAAACTTTGGACCTGCGGCTGCTGTCCGTAGCTGGAATGGACAATAAATCAAGCTTTGATTGCTTTTATCGACAGGGGCAACAACATACAAAGAAATGCAGAAGAAGGAGCAAAACTAGTAAATCACTTTACGGTATGAAGAGCAACAAATAATACTTTGAAGCGGTGAAAGTACTTTCCCCCATACATATATGCGCCCATCCATACGCAGAGAAATACTCACAGACACTCATAGACACATGCATTGGCATTGAAAAATTGTTGGAAATTCTGTTTGAATGGAGAAAGGAAATTGTCAAGGCGTGTTTGGGGTTTCAACTAGCAATGTTGTTACATCCATTACGTATACGCAGCGTGCACACTGCGCAGAGACGACACATAACAGCGGGAGCAGAAAGAAGGCTGTAGGGGACGAACAGCAACGAAATCAAATATCAAATAATTGTTGGCCATTTTGAATGGCTGCCAAAAAAGTTGCGCTGGCCATTTGTTTACACACAGACAACATGGGGTTGGGGCAGGCACTGACAGACAAGCAAAACAAAGAAAGATAAATACAAAATTCTATGCTGAATATTCCGACTAAGGGATGCCCAATTCTATGTTTCTATGCTACTGTGACAAAAATATAGCTCTACAGGTGCGATTCTAAAATGCAGGAAATAAACTGAGCTAAGTTTAGAATTTTATCCGATGATTAAGATTTTTGGCAGAATGACAGCTTCATATATTACAGTACTCAAAGTATTCAAAGCACAGGGTATTCCGTATTCAGAATACAGGTTTATTCATCTAATTTAATAAATGTCCTTAGAGACATGCAGACATGGCCATAGATTTAGCTGCACATTAGACTATTTAGTTTATTGGTTGGAAAACTATAGCAAGCCTCGGAAAGAACCGAAAATCTACGAGTATCGTGTACAAAAGTCTTATATTTATAATTTTAATTGCCAGGCAAATTAATGAAACGCTGCCAAAAATGGTGTGCTTTGAAATGCAATATCTGAACAATTTGTTTCAGTTAATTTGAACAGAGAGAAAGAACCGCTTCACTCAACCCTTGTCACTTGGGTCGACCATGTGCCTGTGCCCATTTTCCAGTAGCAGCATTAATCATGCGCTGATTTAGCAGAGTTCGTGATGGGGTCTCGACCCGTCCATTGGCATGGCCAACGCTGTCGTCATCTGTCACAATATTCGCTTGCAATTTACGGCCAGCACTCACACGTTTACACTCCGCTCCTATGATTGATGCAACAATGTCATTCACGGCTCGTCTACTCAACCGAATCGGAGGTGAGAGACCCTTATAGGACATGGAGAAAGGTTCCAGCAGTGCTGGCCCACACACAGGGCACATAAGCACGTTCCGCTCGGAACTGCCCAGACAGGCAAAGCTTCAAATGTCGCTCAGGGGAGCATTAAAATTTTCTACACCATTTGCCCGAGCTCAGCATAACACTCCCACTCCCCCACAAAGGACATTGTTGAGACAGTCGGGAGGGTCCTAACATCGGGCAATAACCTTAACAGTTCGCTTTCGCAGAGAGAGCTGCCATCCTAAGAGTAAAGAGCACAGCTGGCTAACAGCGCAGTTTCGTGACGGTATAAGAGTGTTTTCGGCTTTTTCGGATTTCAGTGTTGGGTGTCACTGTACAAAAGAGAATATTAGAGAATCCACTTACTAATTTGAAATTTGT